CCAGTTTAATGCCTGCCAGAGAGATAACCTTTCGTCCTGCAGTCTGCACTTAACATTCTTCAAGCCAAACATGCCTCCTTTTAAGCCAAGTTGGCTTGGAATCTTAACAGCATTACTCACGCTTGCTGACTTTTCTGCATGGTCAAAAAACCCCTGGTTGCTGTGTTTAATGCCATGGTCCCCAAAGCCTCCATCTGAAATGGGTTTTACACCGTATCCTCAGCATGTGGGACCGTCATGCTGCCTGAGCTATGAATAAGAGCTCCAGTATTTCTTCTTCACCAGGAGCCAACAAAGGGAAACAGGCTTGTGAAATGATAGGCTACTAGCAGAGCTTTTGCTGTTGTTAAAAAAAGAAAACTGTTCAGGCAAACTAGTATTTGATGAAAAGACAACAAGCCCTAGGATCTGGGGAAGTGACCTTATACTGGGTCACAACACTGGCCCTTCTCTTCTATCTCCTTGGGTCCCCAGGTGTTTTTGGACTAAAACTCTCTGACGCCTTCATCCCTAGCTGTGCTGGCCAGGATTTCTGGGAGTTGCAGTCCAAGAACAATGGCCAGTGCAAAGTGGTAGAAGAAACAAAAAGAAGGAAAAACAAGATTTTTTTCCATAATATCCAAGAAATCAAAGGGCAGTTTAAATCTGAGTTAGGTAAAGGTAAAGGTTCCCCTTGACATTTTGTTTAGTGCAGGCGTGTACGACTCTAGGGGGCGGCGCTAGAGCCAGCGCTTGTCCGAAGACAGTTTCCATTGTCACGCGGCCAGCGTGACTAGGTAACGTCATTTTACCTTCCCGCCGAGATGGTACCTATTTATCTACTCGCCTTTGCATACCTTTTAACTGCTAGGTTGGCGAAGAGCTGGCACAAAGCGACGTTGCGTGGATTCGATCTTACGACTGCTGGTCTTCTGACCTTGCAGCACAGGCTTCTGTGGTTTAGCCCACAGCGCCACCACCCTTCCCCTAAATCTGAGTTAAGGATGCTCAAATATCAACAGGGGGACATAATGTCAAACTATGATAAAATAAAGAGAAGATGGAAACAATATATGGAGGTATTATATGGAGCAGAGGGAAATTATGACAGTCCTGTGAAGAAGAATCCTCTTGTACTGAAGAGCCTGCAATTTTATGAAGTGGAGTGAAAGCCACTCTCAGAGCAACTGGGAAAAAATAAACCAAGATAGAGACCAAATATATCAACATTCTAAAAAGAACAGGGCAACAAATATGGAAAAGAAAACAGTGGTCCAGATTGGGTGGTGGAGGATGCTAATATACGTTCCAGTCCTCAAGAAGGATGACAAAAATGTTGGTGACAATATAGTTATTGTGCAATGCAAGTGAAGAGATGCTCAACATTTCACAGCAAAGACTTACATTGCATATTATGTGGAATAAATGTCATATGTTCAAGATGGATTCACAAAAGGAAGAGGCCCTAAGGATCATATTGTAAATACACATTGATGAATGGAGCATTCCCATGAAGTTTTGGGAGGAAATTAGTCTATAGATTACAGCAAATCCTTTCATGATGTGCAGTTTGAAAAACTGGACAAGAGGCTGCATTAGAACAGAATATGGTTGGAGCATTGCCATGAAGTTTTGGGAGGAAATTGGTCTATAGATTACAGCAAAGCCTTTCATGATGTGCAGTTTGAAAAACGACAAGAGGCTGCATTAGAACAGAATATGGAGAAGCAGAATGGTTTCCATTGGCAAAGATGTGCTTCATCTCCTTGTCTGTGTCTCCTATATGCAGATCATATAATACAGAAAGCTAGATTAGATTCCAATGAAGGGAAAGTGGGGGAGGGATGGAGGAAGAAGCACTGATAATTTAAGATTTTCAGAGAACATGTTATTAGCAGCAGCAATGACCTGAAACAATTACTGGGGAAGATTAAGGAAGAAAATGCAAAAGCAGGATTACAGTTGAATGTTAAGTACGCAGAAATAATGACTACAGAAGAATTAGATAATTTTCATGTTAATAGGAAATAAATAGTTAAATATTTTCTATACCTTGGTTTGGTCATCAGTCCAAGCAGAGGCTGAAGCCAATCAGCCAGAAGTTTGAGACTTGGAACAGCAGCTATTAAGGAACTAGAAATCCTGAAGAATAAGTGTGGACACTGGAGATCATTATAACATTCCCAATTACAATGTATGGATTTGAAAGACAGATAGTGAAGAAAGATAACAGGAAAAATTCCACTCATTCAAAATGTGGTGCTGGAAGAGTTTTATGGATACCACGGACCCCCAGAAAGACTAAGTAGGTGTTACACCAACTTAATCCTGAACTCTCTTCAGAAATGAAAATGGCTAAACTGAGGCTGTTGTACTTTGGGCTTATAATAAGACAAGACTCATTGGAAAGAATGATAATGTTAGGAAAAGCTGGAGGCACCAGCAAAAGAGAAGGAGTGAACATGCAATAGGCTAAGTCAGTAAAGACCATTAGTTTTCAAGACTTCAGACGGGTTGTTAATGAGGTTTCTTCGATGATATTTGTCACTGTGCAGTCAAAAAAAGGGTGCATGTGTAGAATCTGATGTCCATGTTTTGCAGTTCCAGAAGGATGGGAAATGGATGAAAGGAAACACACGAAGGCATACTTTGGAAAAATAAAGGATGATATGAAATGGTTGACATGTGTCGGTTTGGCATCAGGTTTCGGAGCCCAGAGCTGTGGTTTGCTCTTCATACTTTCGTTGCTCTCCTCTCAGCTGGTCCATTTACCGCTTGACGTTTATTTCTATTTTGCCTCTTTCTAGTGAGTCCACAGGTGGCTTCATTTAGGCCCTATTTTTTAAAAAAACAAATAAAGCTAAATGTGAGGCACTTCTCTGCATGAGTCATCACATGGTGGTGTTGGCTAGTTCATATACACTATTAGCATGATCTGTAAGGTGGCCTGGAATTGCTTGATTAAAGGCATGCTGAAAGAGAAAAGGTCACTGTATTGTTTTTTTTAAGTATGTACATAAGCTGTTTGTTGTGTGTCTAATAATATTTTGAAGACTAAAACAGTGCAGACATTTGTGTATGTATGACTCATTCATAGGCTTTAGGCAGAACTGAAACTAGTATTACATGGAATAGGGACATGTCTATACTTAAAAGCAAATCCTTATCCCTCTCCCCTCATACACACATACACAAAATAGAGAGTGCACAGCCCTGGAGCTTTAAAATAGAAGTGACGCCTGCCTTTTTAGAAATAACACTTGGCTGACCACAAAATAAGGAAGGTTTTTTTAAAATAGGAAGACACTCACATAACCCCTGTCACGAGAGTGCACTTCTGATTCAAAATGTTCATGCTCAGCTGGTTACAAATATAATGACTTCATTATTTCTTGCATTTCCAATACTTCAACAAAGCAATGGTAAACCACTGGATTTTACCCACTGTGGCCATGGTAGCAGGGTGAGTCAAAGTGGAAAAGGCTCAGTTATTTTGGATCCCTACCCAGAATGGAAGTTTATAGCACAGAAAGGCTGTCAAGCAACCACTTTCCTGACCACAAAACAAGAGAGTATTAGGTCCAAACTTGGTTAGCGTGGACCCCTGGTTCGCATCAGTTGAAAAACAGCTTGACCTCTTACTGGTTTGGGTGCGCCTGCTTCAGATGGCTAAGGTCAAGATTCCACCCGTGGTTTGCAGGCCAGAACAAGCATGGAGCTTTCTCAGACCACGAACTCTCCTTCATGGTGGCTTCTTTCGCACATTCCAATATGAAGTTGTTCTTACTATGCAATTGAAGGCCATTTTGTTGTGAGGTTGGCAAACCTAGGAAAGGGTAGGGAGTGCAGGGTCCCTAATTCCACATAGCGAATGACACTGACCCCTGGTATTATTTCTGACGGATGGGATATTCCCCATCAGGATACTGAGTCTCGGGACAATTCAGATGTGGAATGGAGAGACATTGAATGTAACTTGTTAGCAGTAGTGTGTTAGCATGAATGTTACTCCCTTTGTAAGTGACACAGTATTAAGGCACTTGTGTGTTAGTATATTTGCGTTTGTGTATATGTGCCTTTTAATGGGGACAGGAGATTAATGGCCAGGAACAACCGTATAAAAAGCAGTATGTGAGTATAAAGCGCAATTGCAACTAACTACGAAAGCAAAACTTATTAGCATTAATGTGAAAAAGGACATTTTATGCCCTCCATCACCCACAAAAAATAGTTTATTACAGGCAATATTGTCATTTCCAGTGTCTCACTCCCAAGTTCTGAGTGTGTTCCTCCCCTGCATATAGCCATAAAAAACAAGCTTTTGTGTTACATTTTTGAATTTGTATATGTAAGTGAATAGATAGTATGTATGTTTAGGTTTTAATGGGACGTAATTGTCTCAGACTGTAGCACTATGGTGGCCCTTCAGGGAAATGGGGGAATATATTTGTCGTTGACCAATAGACCCATTTCCCTGGAACCAGAATTCCGTGTCCACACAGGGATTGGAGAAGGCAATTTAGGCTGATGCACCCAGAGTGAAATGCACCAGCCACTTTTACTAGAGAGGTGACGTTGTTAAACCAGAGACACTGGGGCCAGAATGTGGTGGCTGCTTTTTTGAAATAACAAAGCAGAAAATTTATTAAAAGTCAGTCTGCACATACAGTCGTGTATTCAAAACAGGAATGTTTGTTATACCATTCCAGCACTGTCTGTTAATTGCTTTTGTTAAAAAGGCAAGAAGGCATATGTTTTATTTTATTTCTCTGGTTTTGGAAAATAGATTAAACTTTTCTTTTCCTTCCCTAAACTTACAGCGTTGGGATCAGAAACTCCGTCATCCTGGTAAAGGTAGAAATGAACCTGGACAAAGTGATTCATCTCAAAAATCTGGCAGAACCACCAATCCACGGCAAAGGCGTAACTAGGAAGAAAATGTCATGTGTCAAAAAAAAAAAGAAGTAAAATAATTCGTGGACTTGTATAAATTAAAGACTTGCCTTGATGGAACAGCAAAGGAGAAATTGCACTATTGCGCATCGCATTCTATTGTTTACTACGAGATCACATTGTACCCAAAATTACTTTTATAATCCCTTGGGGTTTTTTGCCCCCTTAAAGTTGCAGGAATATAAGACCTCAGGAGAACAAAGGTGTGCCTTGCTCACAAGTAGATGTGCACCATATTGATGTGAGGATTGCTGATGTTTTTAAGGAGAAATGTGATGAGGTTAGCAGATGCCACGGGACTCATTTATCCTTGATTACCCCAGTCCAGAGGCCAGTGTGCATCTTATTCCTCATTCATCTCTGGCACTGGTAAACTGCCTCATTAAGATGAGGAGAGGAACCTGAGGCACTCTTATATAAACAGCTGGCACATCGTGGCAGAGCTTTGAAAAAAGCAGCAGGGGATGATGAGGACACGAGTCACAAACCTCACTGTCAGGTCAGACTGAAGTCACTCCGGGGATTCGACTTGGACTCGACTTGGGGTTGTTGTTGTTGTTTTCAATGACTCCGACTCGACTCACGACTCAGAACCCACCCAGACCCTCCCTTTTTTGTTTTGGGGGAAAAAGCTTGTTTTTAACAGGGACTTGAGATTCGGACCTGATGCTTTCGACTCGGGACTTGGTACCAAAGACTCAGGACTTGAGACGCGGACCCAAAGACTTGCCAGCATCCCTGCAAGGCAGTGATTACAAAGGGATAGATAAAATTATTTTCTCCTTAATTCAATCCTGGGTATGGGAAAGGATTACGAATCCTTTTTTTTTTTTTTTTGGCCCCTCCCACAGTATTAGTTGGCCGGCCCTACTGGCTGAGGATATTGCAAGAGGGCCTCCAGGCAGTTATGGGTGAGCGCCAAGCATGTGTTCAGTAGCCTGCGTATAATCTGGGGATCCAGTGTGCCATCCAGAAGTAGGCCTCCCTGTGCTAAGGGAAAGGGTGTGAACGTGTAAGAGTGTAAAGCTTGCATCAGAATTGCCCCGTGATATCACAGAAGAGGGATCTGGTGTGCCTTCGCAGCCTTATTCTTTTCCATGTATCAAAAGTGAAAGGGCAAATGCAAAGTGAGAAATCCAAGGCATTTAATTGAGCAAATTAGAGACAAACCAGGAACTTTGCGGCTTGCTATGGCTGTTCAGGAAAGTCAGCAAAAGGAAGCTGGAAATGGGAGGTAATGATTTCTGCATTTTGCAATTAAAGCTGGGCTGGATGGAGATTTTGTTGCCCTCCCAGTTCACTCCAGACACACCCTCCTTCCCATGGCTTCTCCTACAAAAACCTCTTGGCAGTAGGGAAAAGGGATTATGCAAAAAATTATACTAAGAATTCAGTGCCTATCAGAGGAGGTCTGTTAAACGTTGATTCCTCTTCAACAAGCCACTGGTATTAAGTCCAGCTTTAAAACATTAACCCAAATAAGGGCAGGGAGGAATTGTTTCTGAATGCCTTAATCCTTGTGGGAAAGATTGTATAGAATTGGCGATTCACACTCCAAGTCCTGTTGTACTTGTGCCCGGATCATGTTTTCTCTTTGGGGGGGGGAACCACGCTCTTTTGTTACGGGAGTTACAGGCGCAGACTGTCTTCCCCAGGTCGCCCTTGTGGCTGAGGTTTGCACCTGGTGTTTTCAGTAATGTCACGTGGTTTTGTATTTTGGTGCCTCCCTTCCACAGCAGTGTCTGATGGCCAGACTCGCAGGACGTGCCTTAAAAGAATTATTCCGCATTTTAGCCATATTCCATGCAACAGGTCTTATAAAAGAACAGCAATAAAACAGAGAGTTTCCTCTAACTTGTTTTTGCCTCAAATGTACATGTACATGTTAATAGCCTATGATATATTCTTGTGTTCAACATATACCAGCAGATCATCCTGATGATCACAGAACAGTGCTAATAGTTGGGAACTGTACTTCTGCTTTCTCTCTTTCTCTCCCCCCCCCTTCCTTTTTTAAGTGTGGAAATATCAGTAGAATACTGAACTAAAAATAAAGCAAATATTTTAGCAGAAAATAAAACATGTCTATAACAATCTGTTCTGGCGTTCTCACTGACAACGGTGGCGGCTCCTTTAAAAAGGAAACTAAGGTTTAAGCAGCAAAAGAGCAAGTTCTGCAACAGAATCGTGATTGCACCCAACATGCCTTCCCGTTCCAAGCTTTTGTTCTCTCCCACTCCTGGGTGACCAAGAGACAAGACCGATGCAAACATGAACATGACTCTCGTTGGCTGCTGGGGGAGTAGGAATTTTTACATACATTTGTATACCACCTGACTTTGTGCCAAACAGGACTCAGGGCGGTTAAGGACAAAAATACACACTATAACCCTTGCCAGCAGTCAGAGGGCAGCAGCTTCCTCAGGAAGTAGATTTGGGATGTCACAAAGGGGCAAAATGGTTTTTATTGTTTTATTTTGCTATGCTTGTAGTGTACACACCAAAATAAATGACCTGACTTTTGAGGAGTGAGGACCTTCAGGAGTCTCTCTCTCTCTCTCTCTCTCTCTCTGTGTGTGTGTGTGTGTGTGTGTGTGAGGACTCAGGGCGGTTAAGGACAAAAATACACACTATAACCCTTGCCAGCAGTCAGAGGGCAGCAGCTTCCTCAGGAAGTAGATTTGGGATGTCACAAAGGGGCAAAATGGTTTTTAAGGGGGGGGAGGCAGGTTTCACAGCCCTGGCCTGGCTTGTCCAGCACCGGCTTTTGTCACAATGACCAGCTAGATGGTTGTGGGAAGTGCCCACCGGAAGGCAAATAGACTCCTTGTTCCCCAGCAACGAGTATGTTTGGATAAGGAGTCTACTTTATGCCTCACCAAACACGAGAGCACCAATTTTCATAAAATTGTATGTGCTGTTTTTAACCTAAAGAATCACACCACTGAAGATATTTATCATTGCCAAGGAACTGTAGCACCTCTCACTCGAGCGCAGATGGTGGTGTTCTCTGTGAGGCGGCTGAGTCTTCAGTTGGAGGACATCTTCAAGCAGAGGACGGTCCCCTGTACATGCCAGAATAGCGTCGAGGCCAGAATGTTGACTGGGATTTGGGATATCAAGTTCGTAGCTCTTGCTGAAAACAAGCAACAAGCTAAATATTTTCCTTAACAAAGATATTATTAGATTATTTAAAAACAGTGCTGTCACAATTTTATACTTAGACTCTGCAGAGCCATGGAATGCACCAGGCAACCTCGAGCCGATCCAGCCCAGCTCAGCCCAACCCAAGCTGTAACGAATGAATGAATGATAAAGCAGAGTTAAAGCCCCCCTCTCTTTGGAGCACACTATCAATGAATCCAGAGATCCCATGTGCGGCTCTTCTGACCAGCAGTCATGGAGAGAAAAAGCCTAAAGGCCTGGCTGGCGCAGGTCTTATTCAGCTACTGGGTGGCTTGCGTTGCTACCGCGTGAGTTTCCCAAGGGTCACTGAAGGTTTCTCAGACCCTACGTGATGGCCTTGTTTACTGTTTCATTCAAGACATGTCTCTGCCCATGTGCCATTGAACAGGAAGGTGTGCTTGTTGTACAGAGATTGCTCACCAACAGCTCTTAAATCTTAAAAAGCTTCGAAGGAAAGAATCGCAATCTTGTTGCTAAATCTCAAACAAATGCAAATGGGTCAAATCAGCTGACAGGAATGCATATGGCCGCCAACTTGCATTTCGCATTATATCAGTTGTAGAAACGGTTCTGTTATTTTGTCCATAGAGCAAACACAGAGGAACATGTGTATGATTGGGTGTAGTGGGAATACGTGGGGGCCTGATTGAAACCATACCTTTCCCACATCTGGATATTATTATTAGTTTAGGGAGCAAACATGCAACCTGAATTCCTATGGATAATTAACAGGATGCTGCTTTAGCATGAAATAGGAGAGTTTCCTATTCTTGTATATACCCTGTGGGTAAAATGTCATAAAGACTAAGCACTTTGCGTTTCTCATCCCAAAGTAGGTCTTTATTATGTGCTTTGCAAGATCCAGAAAAAGACAGCCTTGCAGGTTTCAATCATCGTAATTGTAGGACAACGGATGTTTCAAATCCTGTTGTCGAATTGTGCTTGAGCAAGCATAGCAACAGAAAAGACTGGCAGGCAGACATTTCAAAGTGTTGTGCAACAGAAGGGAAGCAAGGGTATTTTTTTTCAAAGCCAGCTGCTGCAGATCATGCAAGGTGACTGTAACATGACAAAGCTGTGCACCCTGCACCCCTTTGTGGGTCACGAAGTTCCTGGCTCCTGGCGCTTGCCTTCTGCTTTCAAGGGCTGTGGAGGTGCTCCCTGATCATCACGGTTGGAGACAGATTCCAAGCAACCTTGTCAATGGAAGTGATGATCATCTTATTCTTTGCGTCAACAGAACAGGCCACAGAAAGTCTTGAGGCAGCCCTTCATAACTTCTAGGCCAAGGATGGGGGTTGCAGGAACAGACCTGGGGAAGGGCCCCCCTCACGTATTGCCCACCCCCGTTGTAGGTCATGGAAATCGTGGTCCCTAGTCTTTGATCTGTCACGTTGGTCTCCATGTTGCTGACACTGAGGCTTTGCTCTCCAGAACCAGAACTTCGGGAGAGCACAACATGGGTGACACAACTTTTACGCTGAACAGGAGGACAAGCCCATTGATGGCATCTAGAGATCAACGTGTTTAAAAGCAAGCATTCATTGTTAAGGCACGACTTTCAAACCAATATTTTCTCTAGGCTACGTGCATTTGTCCATTTAATAGAAAAGTGGCAGTAGTGATGTCAATGTGCTAAAGAGCTATTTCTGCACTCCGTCCACTATAGCTAAATCTAAAACAAATACTTAAACAAGATTTTAGATCTATTCCTCTTTTTCCCTTTTGTAAGGAAAAAGAGGAATAGATGGAATACATTTGGTTGCTTTAAAAAAAAACAACCAGAGATGACATTTCCTGTCCTTGTGTTTGTTCTGGGTGATGTTGCTGCTGAAACTCAGTCCAGGCTCCCGGCTGTCCAAATATGAGGCTGTCCAAATCACAACTGGAAAAGATATGGAGTGCTGGAAGGAGTATGCTGGTGACATGCAGAGTTTGGAAGTACAACTCATTTCAAATAACTAATTACTTACTATTAATACTTTTTCTTCTTTTTTTGTAAGAAGTAATGCAAAACTAAGTTAGATTGCAATTCTAACTGTGATGATGGCTAGAACTGATGAGAGTTGTCACGTAAGACTTCTGGAGGGCATCAAGATAGGGAAGGGAGGTGCTTTATGTGCCATGACTCAAGTGGCACCAACTGTAGTGTAGTCCTTTAGGGCACGAGGGACAGCAGCTTGTGCACATTTCGTTATCAACATGTCACACTGTCTCACACAATCTATGTGCATTCTATCCCTGACTAACTTGAGATTTAAACAATGCAACATGCACGTTGTAACTTTCTGCACCTGTCAGAGCAGCCACATGGGCACCGAATACAAGCTATCAAGCAACCTGAGCTACTGTCCTTATATATTTGCTCATCCTTATTTAAATAAGAATTATAAATGCATAATTAGTTTTCCAAAGATATACATTAACAGCAGTGGTTTCCAATCTTGGGTCACCCAGGTGTTCTCGGACCACAGTTCCCAGAAGCCTTCACCACCAGCTGTGCTAGGCAGGGTTTCTGGGTGTTGAAGTCCAGGAACACCTGGGTGACTCAAGGTTGGGAACCACTGCCTTCTTAGAGTGTCAAAAAGTCTTGGAGAAGCCTACATAAGTGCAGAAGCAGAACCTGATGGTTTTCTTTGCCACTGACCATTACTGAACTAAACCGAAACAGTGTGTTGGCAGTCAAACTCCAGAGAATTAACTGTGAGCTAAAGTTAAGGTTGACAGGTCAAAAGCATCCTATTTCCTCAGATGGCAGAATCAGAGTCTGGGAAAAGACCATACATCAAGAATTGCAAAACAATATCTCAATATCTCTCTCTCTCTCAATCTCTATCTGTGTGTCTGTGTGCATGTAAATCTAAAGGCCAGTTTGTGAATTTCAGTAGCAGAAGGAGCAGCACTACAGCATATGAGGAAATTGTGTGTCTCAGTGACATTTCCAAGAGCCACGAGATTGTACCTCAAATTCTAGGTCTGCCAGGTTAGCCATGTCTCATTCCCTCAGCTTTTAGGTCCAAAGCCTGAGATGTGGAGAACTGACCAAATCTCAATAGTCCAAGGTCATTGCCCAAGACCTGGCAACTCTTGTGAAGGTGGAATTAATGTTATACAGTGGTGCCTCGCATAAAGAGCGCACCGTATA